CCCCATTCCTCTTTTCTTTCAATATTTCATCTCCTCTTTATTTATAAAAGCTTTGTTTCCATTTTTTCCTTCTATTTTGTTTCCTTTCTCCTTCCTTTCCTTCCTTACCCCGTTGTTCCACTTCCCATTTGAACATTTATTTCCTAATTCCCAATATCTGTCATCCATTTTCAGTTTCTTATACAAGAGAAACAATGTGATATTTAACATTTGTGTCCAATTTATTTCATTTAAAAATAATGGTCTCAAAGTGTGTCCATTGACCTAGAATGATTCAGATTTATGCTTCTTTATGGCAGAGTAGTACTGCATTATATATGAAAACTACATCTTATGCATTCACCTTTTGATGGGCATTTGGGTTCTTTCTAAGATTTAGCTATTACAAATTGTGCTGCTATAGACACAGATGTGCATATATCACTGTAGTGTAACCCTTTTAACTCTTTTGAGAAGATTCCAAGAAAGCGAATAGCTGAGTCAAATGGAACCTCTAGTTTTAGTTTTTTGAGGAATCTCCACACTGATTTCCACAGTAGTTGTATAGTCTACATTCCCACCAGCAGTTGAAAAGAGTTCTTTTTTTCTCATGGACCCACCAGCATTTGTTGCTGATTTCTTTTTTTTTTTTTTCGTCAGTCAGATTTTATTGGTACATTTTTGATATGCATAATGACCATATTTATCAGAGAGACTTTGTACCTGTACAGGATGTAACTTGATTCTTTTTTTTCCCATTCTTCTACTTGTCCTTCAGTCCCTCCCCATTTACAAAACCTTTATTTCCATTTTTTCCTTCTTTTCATACTTTTTTAAACTTGTCTTTTTAATGATAGCTATCCTTCCCAAATTCCTTCAAAGCATTTCTCATTATGTTTATACTCCCAAAACTAGCTTGTTCTAGTTCTTCTATTTGTCTCTTCTGGAGAAAAATGATCTGACATGATTAGAGATCATTAAAATAAACTAAGGTGAAAGGACCACCTCCCGCATTATTGAGTGAGGTTGAACCTCAATGTTCTGATTTGCATTTCTTGAATGACCAGTGATGTTGAACATTTTTCATGTATTTATTTGCCACTTGCTCTCTCTCTTTCTCTCATTTGAGACAGTCTGACTGTGTAGTTCGGGCTGGCCTTGAACTTACTATGGAGCTCAGACTGGCCTTGAATTTGTGGAAATCCCCCTGCTTCAGCCTCTTTTTTTTTTTTTTTGGTCTTTTTCCTTTTTATCGGTACCAGGGATCGAACTCACAACTGCCTGCTTGCAAGGCAGGCGCTTATGCCGCTGAGCTAAATCCCCAGCCCCTGCTTCAGCCTCTTGAGTGCTGGGATTATAGGCGTGTATCATCATGGCCTGCTGCCATTTGTAATTCATTTCAGATGCCCATTTTTAGATTTGAAGCATCTGGTTTTTTTGAGTTCTTTGTATATTCTCAATATTAGTCCTTTGCTTGAGAAGTAGCTGGTAAAGATTTTTTTTTCCAATCTTGTGGGTTGTTTCTTCACTTTGCTGGTAGTGTTTTTTTTTTTTTTTTTTTTTTTTTTGCTGTGCAGCTTCTTTCCCTTTTGAGACTTAACAGATAAATGGATGAAGAAGCCTGGAGAAGAATGTTTGAGTTTGTGGTCATGTGAGAGAAAGAGAGTGAGTATCTTTGAGAAAGTTTAGTATGGCTGGATCTTAGACTTAGGGGCTTGGAGTAGAGTTGTAGTGGTGAAAAATGAGGTTGGAGAGGTAAGCAGGGCTTGCAGGGCATTAAAACCAATATTCATTTGAGCCAGATGGGAGAAATCTGGGTATTGTAGTAGGCACTTGTAAATCCAGCACTTGGAAGGCTGTGGCAGAAGACCTGGAATTTGAGGTCAGTCGGGCTACATAGAGAGAACTCATCTCAAAAAACCTAAACAACTAAACAAAAAAGAATGAGGACAAAAGAATGGATGGGACATACCCACCCCCAATGCTTTTTTTTTTTTTTTTTTTTGAGAGGCTGGAAACCAAGGCCTTTGCACTGAGCTACATCGGCAATTTTTTATTGCTAAATCACTTAAATTCCCAGAAAAAACTCCAGCCTGTGGTCTTTTAGCCTAAGCCTCCAGGAGCACTGAGATTACAGACTATAACAAAATAATAGATTGCAGGTATATGAAACCATACCCTCCCATTTTTGTTTTTTGTTTTTGCACTGGGATTTGAACTCGGGACTTTATGCTTGTTTGGCACCTTTCTTGAATATAAGGATATAATCAGATTTTTAGAAAGCTCACTCTGGTGGGGCTGGGGATTTGGCTCAGCGGCATAAGTGCCTGCCTTGCAAGCAGGCAGTCGTGAGTTCGATCCCTGGTACCGATAAAAACGAAAAAGATAAAAAAAAAAAAAAAAGAAAGCTCACTCTGGGTCCATTGTGGCAAGCTGGGGTTGTATGTGTGGGGGTGAGGTTTGAAGCTGGGAACTAATAAGGAAACTGTTGTAATAATCTTGACAGTAATTTATAGTGCCCTGACCTAATGGGTGGTGGCACTAGTAGTGGAGAGAAGGGGACTGAAGTACGTTTTCACAGATAGACTTGGTAGTTTAAAGATCGAAGTAGGGCAGGGTTAGTGAAGGTTGCTATGAAGTTTCTGGTTTGGACAGTAGAGTGGAAAGCAGGCCCTTTAATTAAAATAAACTGGAAAAAACAAGTTGGGGGGCAAAGAGAATATGGTGATTACATTTTGGAAGTATACTTAATTTTGTGGGCATGGATTTTAGCAGGGAATTAAGAGTTAGATTTTATAGACTTACGTATCAGAACAATGCAGAGAGCACTTACGAGAAAGTACTCCTTAAAATTTATATTTTGAGAGCAAGAGTTTCGTGAATACATTACACTATAGACTCTCAGGAAAGATGTATTTTCTTTCCAGAAAAATATACATGCTGATAGCAATTTACAAACAATTCCAGAGTTTACAAAAATGTGTAAACCTTAAGTTATAGACTGAAACAAGAGAACCTAGGGCGAAAAATCCTCAAGAGCCTCAGCTTTTATAGATGTAGGATAAGAAGATTTGGCAAAGAAGACATGGAATGAGCTTTACACCCTATGAATGTGCCGTTAAACAGATCCATTGGGTATCTTTATAATGATGTCACTAGGGCTTTGGCAAAGCAGAATAGGGGCTGTGGTGGATTGAGAAACTAATAGGAAGTAAAGAAGTGGAGTTGGAAAGTACTGTTGACAGTTCTTTAAGGAGTTTAATTATGTAAAAGAAGAGTTAATGGGGGGGGAGTTGGCTTAGGATTTGAGTAGGTTTAAATATAAGGTGTTAAAAGACAAGGTAAAGGAATATATATGGTGGCTTTTAAGGTCCCTCACCATGCAGTTGGTGAGATTCGAAATCCAGAACACAGATAGAAGAATCTTAGACAGGAGAGCAGATACTGTAAGTAGGAAAAAAAAAAATTCTATCTCTTTGAAGTTGGATGTGAAATCATTTTACATCATGAATGATAGAATGGATAGTGATTTAAAGATTGTTACTTCATTATTACTGAAAATTATTACTTGGATCTAGGTGTGTTATATGTAGTTTTTTTGTTTGTTTGTTTTATTTTTTTGCCTTAAGACAGGGTCTCGTTATGCAGGTTAGGCTGAACTCACTATGTAGCCAAGGCTGGCCTTTAACTCACAGTGATCCTCCTGCCTCAGCTTCCTGAGTGCTAGGATTACAGGTGTGCGCCACCATGGCCAGTTGTATTGATCTTGAATAGTCAGTTTATATGATGATAAAAGTGAGAGGAGGAGTTTTTGTAAATCCAGTTTATGATTTGGTATTATTTATTGTGGTCCTAGTTTACATGTTGAATTTTTTTGTGTTTAAAAACAAAACTGTATCTTAATACTTGGACCAAGAGGACTCAGACTAGTATAATAAGTCAGCATTCCTTTGTGATATCTGTCTTCTGAAGAATTTTTTATTTGAACTTCTAAAGTGATTAATTATATCTAGATATATTCCCAATTTTATGTTAAATGAGTTTTTATTACACTGTATTTCCAATCATTGTAAATAAATCATTAAAACCGAGAAATAGGTAGAAGTTGGGCAGATGTTACATTTATTACTTTATAGATCTTATTATATATAAAAATGTATCTTTACCTTCACTTACCAGTTTATGATTCTATGTAAATCATAATTTTATTTATTTATTTATTTATTTATTTATTTATTTTTGTGTCAGGAATCAAACTCAGGACCATACGCTTGCCAGGCAGGCTATTATATTTCTGGCCCACATAAGTTGTAATTTTAGAAATGAAATGTGTTTACTTCAAAATGTATCTTACTTTTTTGTTGGTCCTGGGGATTGAACTCATCATGTAGCGCTTGCCAGGCAGGCACTTATGCCACTGAGCTAAATCCCAGCCACTAAAATGTATCTTTTTAAAATGGGAAATTTAGTGGATTTGTTTAGTATATTCACAGATTGTGCATACATCCATGTAAGTAATAACGTAGTGCAACATAACTCAAATTTGGGTTTTAAAGGACAAAGTGATAGATCTTTTTTACCAGTGAGCTAATGATTTAAGGGAAGGTATTGTATCTATAGTTTCTGTGGCATTTAGAAAACAGAATACTTTTTAAAAAAAATCTCATGTATATCAGGAAAACTTTACCTTATTTTTTTCTTTCTTTTCAGTATAATATTATCTTGACCCTAAAACAGAAACCTGAATTTACATATCCTCTCCTCAGAATCATTAGAATTTATATAGATTTATATATTTTTGCTGTCAGCCTTTACTGGTAATCATTGCTAAATTTGCCATCACTGATGTTCAGCTGTCTTTTGTTTGCTGGTTTGTCTTTAGTTAAAGCTTATGATCATATTTCATACCTTGCTGTATAGTTAGGACTTAATTATCCATGCTGTTTTCAGTGGTTTAAAATGAAGCAATGATATCTTACCATTTTATTTTAATTTTTCCCATGTATTTTTTTGTTTTACAGTACTCTGTGCAAAAAACTTGGTGAAAAAGGATTTTTTCCGTAAGTAAATTAACTTTAAATATAAACCTTGTCTTTCCTGTGTAGATTGTTTTTGGACAACATTTGTAGAATTGTCAGGTTTAGGGATTTCTAAATTCAGAAATATATTGTTATTTTTGTGAATACTTTGGTTCAGGTCCTTTGGCTATTACATTTTTCCGAGGGATTTTTTGGCCTTAGCCTCTTTCCCTTTATTTGTCAGTCCTATCTATTTACATCAATGTGTGTGTGTATGCAGCTAAATAAATGCAGACACATATAATGCATATGGAAGTTGTACATACTGTTAGATTTCTAGAAAAGATTTAAGAAAATATTTCACAGATATCATTTTTAAAGCATTTTATATGACATTTTATTATTATATTCAGGATTCATTGAAAGGTAGAAAAGCCACTGAAGTCATTTAAACTTTGTGCACTTGTAGGAAAGAAATCTCTGCCACATTTGATTGTAAGTGCACTTGTGTCTCAAATTCCAGAGCAGATGCTTGATAATAGTATCTGTCTTATCAGTTGATTGTGAAATTTTTTTGTGGCTTTATTTAGGCTTAAATTTTGTGAAACACAGTTGGAAAGTACCAGGTGTGTTGAAAATCTTGACCTTAATACTTAGCTTTAAATTATTAAAAATTGCATAATTTTTATTAAAAACTTTTCAGCCAGCAAATTTTATATGTAAAATAGTTAAACTTAGAAATGGAGCTTATTTTAAAATTCAGATCCTACCATGCAGCAAAAGGCCTGTTGCTTTGTGATTTAGTTTGACAATTTTCAAGCATTTGATTAAAAGAAATAATAAGCTCTTGATGTTTTAAAATCATACTTAATTTGTTGCTTTGAAATTTTATTACTTCTCCTCTTCCTAGAATAGAACCTGAATTAAAGTTTAAAAAATAATCTTATAAAATTATAAATTATTAGATTATTTCTGTGCTTATGCGCGAAGACTGTTAAAGAGGATAATTTGAAACATAGGAAGAAAATTGCAAGTATTCTTCAGTGTATGTACTGTGTGTCCTCTACCCCCACAAATAATGTTATCACAATAGGAGAGAACCCAGTGGCCATAGAGCTGCCCATCTCTCTCTGCTGCCACCAATTTATATTATCTTTCATGGTGCTGCATAAATACCCTGTCACTAATAACCAAGGGGTACTTTTCCTTCATCTTTTATAAGGTTCATCTGCAGTCAGATTTATCCTAGTGGAACTGTAAATTGGTTGGTAGATAAGAGTAGATTGGCTAATGACAAGGATAAAGGTAGAGAAATAGAAGTCTAACAGTGACTTTGGTATCTTCCAAGGTACCTGCTTGTGGTTTTGAAGATAAGATCTTCAGCTTTGTTTCTCAATCTTTGACTAATTCTTTTCCTTTCTCTAGAATTTTAAGACACAGCTTGTCCAATAAAATATTCAGATATCTTGTCTTAGTTTTCCTAGAGGAATCTTACATTAATTCTTTGTAAGTCTCTGAATTTTTCTGTCCTTAAATTGTAGGTGAAAGAAGGAAATCGTTTCACTTTTTCATTGATGTAGACAGTGAAAATTGCTAAAAAAAAATGTTAGGAGTATAAGTTGGCATTAGGGATAAGAAGATTGGGGGAAATTGCAATTATCTTTAAAACTCAAAAGTGGCAGATACCTGCTGGCCTGGAAGGAAGCAGCAAAGCCAATCCTCAGGCATTCGGAAGGAAGTAGTGAGCCAGGGATAGAAGTATGTCACAGGTTCACGCTGGCCACTGATCCCTGTTGTAGTGGATTCATATCTATATTTCCAGATGTTTTGGACTTAATCATACGTTGAGATTTGACACATTAATTTTAGAGAAATATAATAGTTTCTACGCTTTGAGTATGTGTTTATTGATTAGAGTATAGTATACTAATAGTAAGTTGTTAACTTTTGACTTGTGATTTAGTTTAAATTATATGAGAAAAGTAAATTTTAATGTGGAACATTACTATAGGATGATGAAATAAATATGTATTTATTTCATTACAGAAAAAAATTCTGCCATGTGTTGTCTTTTGGTAATTCATATGTGAGATAATAACTGTTCCAGGATATTATCCTTGCTGAGGAAAGTTTCATTGACTTATATTTTGAAACTATTTTCAAGCCTGGTAGCTTTAAAAAAACAAGTCACTCCTCCTTATCCCCCAAATTTCAGCAGGGAAATGGTCAATCATGAAACAGTAGGTTAAAAATTTTATAATGAGCATCCAATGTGTAGATTCTCTGTTAATTTTTGTCACATACTATAAATTTATTTAATCATTATCATTGTTTTCTGTAAAGATTGTTTGCAGTAGTATCAAAATTTTTCTCTCTTTATTAGCAACATTAAAAAGAAAAGATTTATGCGTAGGTGTAGCTGTACATACCTGTAATCCCAGCAGGCTGAGAAGTCTGAGGCAGTAGGTTCTGTGCAATTTTTTGAGCTTACTGTGCAATTAGTGATTTAGTGAAACTGTGTTAAAGTAAAAAAAAAAAAAATTAAGGTCAGTGTATATAGCTCAGTGTGATGGCCTTGGGTTCAATCTCCAACCCCCCTTGCTCTCCCCACACAAAGATTTATTTTATTTTATTTTAGTACTGGGGATTGAACTCATGACCTCACGCTTGCCAGGCAGATGCTTATACTGCTGAGCTAAATCCCCAGCCCACAAAGATTTATTTAAGACAATGTATTAAAAGTATTTTATAGGGGCTGGGGATTTAGCTCAGCGGCATAAGCGCCTGCCTTAAAAGCAGGCGGTTGTGAGTTTGATTCCCGGTACCGATAAAAATGAAAAAGACCAAAAAAAAAAAAATATTTTATAGAGGTGAGATCAGTTAGTCAATCAATATAAGTCAGTTGAATTTTTTCACCGTCCAATCCCAAATAAAGCTTTATTCTCTTTGGAAAGTAATTCAATTTTAAGTTCAAATTTTTATTTCAATATTACTTGCAGCTAAGTACATTTGTATAATAAGGAAGTTTTGTGTTTTTTTTTTTTTTTTTTTAAACTGGGAATTGAACTCAGGACTCATGCTTGCCAGACAGGTGCTGTACTGCTGAGCTGTACCGCTGGCAGATGAGGTATTTGAGCTAAGATACTCATCTGACTTTTAAGTGATAGGAAGAATTGAGAAATTTTTAAAATACAAAAAGCAGACACTTTGTATTTACCACTAGAGGTCTCACTCACTTTAGAAAACGCCATAATTTTTCACATTAGAGTAATTTGGATTTTAAATTTTTTGTGGACTAGCATAAGCAGTTTAAGTTGCACCCCAGGTTTTTTTTTTTTTTTTTTTTTTTTTTTTTTTTTTTTGTTGTTGTTAAGATACAGAGATTGGGGCTGGAAATTTAGCTCAGCAGCATAAGTACCTGCCTTGCAAGCAGGCAGTCATGAGTTTGATGCCCTGTACCGATTAAAAAAAAAAAAAAAAAGATACAGAGATGATATGTTGGTTTGTTGTTATTTAACAGAAGAAAAATAGGAAATGGGTACTTAAACTTAGAAAAGTTTAAGTTTCCAGTAGAAACTGGATGAAGGATTTGGAAGACACTCCTGGAGGTTTGTATGAAAAGTTTTCTTTTTTTTGGTCTTTTTCCTTTTTATCGGTACCGGGGATCGAACTCACGACTGCCTGCTTGCAAAGCAGGTGTTTATGCCGCTGAGCTAAACCTCCAGCCCCATGAAAAGTTTTCTTAAGCCTTAATTTTTTTCTTTCTTGTAATACTGGGGATTGACCTCAGGGCCTTTGCATCAGACCATGTCCCCAGCATGGCTTTTTATTTTTCTTTCTTTCTTTCTTTTTTTTTTTTTTTTTTTTTGAGAAAGGGACTAAGTTGCCCTGGGTGGCTCAAACTTGTGATCCTCTTTTCTCAAGTCTCCCACACTACTGGGGCTGCAGGTTTGCCTCAGAATGCCTGGGTAATCCATAACTTTTTTTTTTTTGGTACCAGGAATCGAACTCATAACCTCACGCTTGCCAGACAGGTGCAGTAATCCATAGTTATTTACCTAGTTGAATAATATTCAAAGGGGAAACTAGAAATGTGGTTTTTGTTTTTGCTTAATTCATACATTTATGTATTTCTTTAGATGTAAAGTCAAGAGAACAATACAGAATAGATTCTTTTCAGGAGAAAATACTTTCAATGTTATTAAAGGAAGAATTAAAAAAAAAAAAAACCAGTAACTCTTCCATTAAGCATATTTACAGATTCTTAGGAGTTATTGAAATAATATGAATAGCACTAAACTTCAAGAACAGTACAGTTAAGTAGATTTGATATGCTAACATTAATTTTCTTTAAAGTTTATTAACTAAAATGTCTTATTTAGTTGAAGAAAGAATCATGGACTTGAGGAATTGTATAAGCAGTGTCTGGCTGTTCTTGAATCTTGGTAAATTAACATCTTGACTTCTAGCACCTAAGTTGCCATTTTTGTTTCCTTAGTGTTTTTTGACTCACTTTCTGGAGTTTCGTATGTTTTGTCAGAAGGACCACTATAGCCACACACGTCTGTAATCCTAGCACTTGGGAGGCTGAGACAGAAGGATTGTTGCAAATTCAAGGCAAGCCTGAACTACATAGAGAAGCAATGTCTCAAAATAAAATGTCTCAAAATAAAACTAAACAAACAAGAAAGATCACTATTGCTTTAGGCAGGAAAAAAACTATTGTGTCACCTTTGGCACTTTTTTTTTTTTATTAAACTTTTCAGAGTGGCATTTCCTTTTTCATGTGGGTTCCCTAATTCTCATCCTACTCTTGGATTGTGTTTTTGTTGCTTTTCTCTTTGGTGAGACAAATAACTGATACCCAAACTTAAAGGAGGAAAGTTTTTTTTTTTTTTCCCAGTTCACAGGTTGTAGAGGTTTAAGTTCATGATTGGCTGGCTCCAAGACAAGGTGGCATGGCAGAGGAGAAGCAGTTCATGGCAGGCAGGAGGTGGCAAACTATGAGCAACAAGTGACAATTACTACACTAACCCTCTTTC